ACAACGAAAAATCTGCGCTCTTATATGAGGCAAGATTTAGTGTTCGCTTTTTCATTGTTGCTCCAATAATTGACCATTTCCACATCACAGTTTAGGTGGATCTGCTAAATGACGAATTAGAAGAGAAGGAAGTTCTCTTGCAACAGTCTAATAGAGAATGTCGCGATCTCACCAGCGTATGTTGAATGTCATTCAAGATATCTTTATTACATTGAATGCTTGGCACTCTAGGAAGTCAAACTTTTAAAACGGACGATTGAAGCGATGACAGCTACGCAGAACAATTTGAAGGCTGAAATTGCTCAGCGGGATCGTTTGATTCAAGTAAGTCTGGAAATTTTCTATTTTATAACATCATCGTGAGCTTTTAGACTAGTTTTCCATTAATTATGTGAGACCTCACTAATAGACAATCAGTTAAAAATTGAGCTGCGTTCAAAACAATTTTACCAAGATTCAACCAAACGGATTTTCTCGTTTCCGCTGCGTAAAACAGCGCCCTTTCAATTGAGGGGAAATCCTTCCAATGTTGGGACGACGTTCCCTTCAACAGTCACTCGATTAAGATTGAAATGTAATGCAGAAACTGTTGAGAGTTTGATGATCTCAACCCCCGGCTGACTGATTTCACTGGACGTAGAAAAAGCACATCTGTGTCAAAGTAGAAATTCTGGGAGATTTGGGAAGCTAATTTCCACTGTCAAGTCAAACGATTGTACCTAGTGAAGTATCGTGAATGGGATTGTATGGTTTTTATGTTATGCCTAGTGAATGTACGGAATGCATTGTATTCCGATGCTTTTTGGTCGAAGCTCTATCATACCTAGCTGACAGCAAAGCAAGGAAATCATCGATTATAAAGAAAACACCTAAAATATCCATGTCTTTTTATGTTAACAGTTATTTTCAAATTGCAACCGAACTAATGGGTAAATACATGGTATAAGGTTGGTTGTTTCATACCGCAAAAACTGGTTGAATTTTGGTTCCATTCTTTCTTGCTTCATGCATCCAAGCATAAACACCACCAGCAACTACAACAAATCTTATCTACAACATACTTCAACTGCATAGAGAGCCTTCGATACCTCATTGGAAATTCGTTGCCCCTTGTGATCTAAAAAAGATTGATTTCGATTGACATCATAATGTTAGTGGTTTCTCTTAGAAAGTGGTTTTCAAGAGAGCCAAGCAGGTTGCATCCTTGCAAGGTCAGGGCTATAAGGCTGTCATAGAAGACTTCTCCGTCGTAGGCTCCCAAAATTTTCCTGGATGTTTTTTGCAATAGGTATCTCGACAGTGTTATGAAAAAGTAGAGTTTGGCTTTTTTTTCATAGTAAATTGGTTCCAACCACTTGGCTTTATTAAGGGGTTCCAATCAAGTAGTGAACGGGTGACTTCCGCGTTGAATGTGACATCTGCACGTAGATTTTTCCAGTGCTCAGGTCACTAAAATCCTGGAAGGTCCCTTTTGGACGAGGCTGAACTTTAGCAGTCAGAATTTCAGAGCGCTTGACAACCCGCCGCTTCTAGGCTGGTGTCAAAGTCCACGATCCATCGCACGATCGCAAAATTCCAAGTACCCCATTAAAACATTTGAAACATTAAATAGACACATTGTAAAAAAAAAAGAAATCATATAAAAAGTTCGTCACTCATGCGTCATCATCAAAGCCATAAATGGCGGCGCGGATTGGAGAGCACCCCGCAGTATTGTTCGGGGCGACCCTCGATTTCTGTCATCCGTCGCGCGAGTCGCGTGGAGTATCGCGAACTCTGACTTCAGCCTTAAGTTGATAACACACTGCGCTTTATCCTCATCGCTGGCAAATACTGCGCATCTTCAATTGAAAGGAACAATTTGAGTCATTTTGAACATGGCGATGTCAGCTTATGTTTGAAACTAATTTGGGTCAAGGCATGTGTGATCTAAGTTGTTTCCGGATCTGCTTTCCAGAAGTCTTGGAGATGTATTTTGTTAGTTCTTTCTTAGTGTCACATCAGAATTGTTCTAGCGAATGATTGGTGAGTTATCCAAATCTATTTAAAATAACGTCAGGTATTTAGAGCACAGTGATTCCCAATCACAAGGGTTGGTGTGTTGATCATCTTCATTCACGAAAAAGCCGTCGCAGAGCAGTTCGCCGGTGCACCATGGATTGAAAGCGCGTGCCCTTGCCCATCTTCTGGTTAATCCTTGGTGTAGCCTAACTTGCGGAACATTCTCAAGCGATACTCGTGAAACTTAAGGGCATGAAGAGCTTTTCGTGAAATCGGTGTAATAACCATAACAAGTAGCGAGACAACGACTCGGACCGCTTGACCGAAATTGCAGTATTGGACGCTATGCGAAATACGAAATTTTCACTACAGTGAATATGTGGTAATATCTCTTGGACGCGCCGTACACCACACTTGCTTCCGAATATAAGTGGTGTTTTGTGTACGCAGCGATTTATGGGCCCAACAAGTGTAATTGTAAGTGCATGAGGGGAAATTTTATCCCATTCGGCAAGATCAGGTCAAACTGGTGGCAAAGGGATGTACCAGGTGGAATTTACCCAGCACTGTTGAATCAGCGTTTCAAGAGCTGATGGATACCATCATTCTGCAATGCACGCTAACGTGATTTAGTGTAGGGCACTTGGGCCCTGTT